AAACGGTGTCTACCAAGAACGTTTAGTTGTTCTATTTTTATTTAACTTTCTTATAAACACGTGCTTATGTGATACCGACAGGATGCTTCTCCACTCAAATGTAGAACTGACTTGAATCAGTATCTCATCCGACAATAGGGAAGTGGTAAAACGCGTTGACCAATTCACTTACCTTGGAAGTCAGATCACCCAAGACGGGTAAGTGACCGGCAAAAACTCGACACGGATACGAAACGTTCTAGTAGCTGCCACCGACTTATGCCACTTATAAAGACGGTGAAATATCCCACAATCTATTAAGGGCCAAGCGTACTGCTAACTAGTCCCTTATATCCTACGGTTTCAATTATTTGAACACTATTACCTAGGCAGCATCGACTGCATATTGTGAAACAAACACAGGTTAGGTGCAGTCTTAGATAATAATGATTGGGTTGTCGACGTTCATCAACTGATGCGCATGGGATACGTTAAGCGTGTCGAATCACTCTAGGTTAAAAAAGCCTACGGACCTTCGGACACAAAAGGCTATTGGTCGGAGCCATTAAAGGAATGTCAAAAATCAGATTGGCATCCACGCGATAGCGACATTTGACAACTAATGGTAACATGATCTTAGTCTGTAGGTGACACTTCGTTACTTGGTGTGACTTCTTTTCTATTACCTTATAAGTACCTATGACTTTGACGGAATTTATTATTTCCACAACTTTCTTGTTGCGTTGTCTTGATAGAGTTTAGCAACTTGGAGCAAAAGACAATATTGTCAGGTTGGATTTGGATAATGGATGAATGTCACACTCTGGTTACTATCATCATAAACTCCCAGAAATAAACTGTTATGAAATACTGCTCTTAATATTTCGCACTTGCAGTACTATTCTTACCCTTGACCCGAACGATAGCTGCTACCTTGATGTGGTGGTTGGGGTTGCATAATCACAATGACCCAACGAGCTATCCTGGTGGATTGCATGCTCCCTCCAGTTCCTACCATATCAGAAAGCTCAGTTCGATAGTAGTAAGACAAAAAGTAGTTACCGTTACAGTGTAAACTACTGAGCCAAAATGGAGCCTGAAAACAAATTGGTACATTGCTGGTTGGAAGAAGTGTGGCAGCAGTACGGTTTCTACCACAGACGACCAGTAATCCCGTGTTAATATTTCCGTTCAATATGGAAAGGACAGGTTAGAAGAGGTAGGGCGAAACAGCAGCACATTCTCCCCTACTCCGTAACATACCAGTTCCGGCGATATGGGTTCATAGTCGGATTCCAGAAAATCAAACTATAATATTAAACCTCTAAAACGGCCGTTTCCGACCAACTTCAAGCAAATTTCCCTTGTGTTCTGCTGTCATCCCCTAACCCTTCTTTCTCAGATACCTCAAGAAATAGTCTTCCACGGTGTGAGCAGCCATGGAGTGTCAACCATCCTCCGATCTCTGTCAGCATACCAGTTCCCCCAGAACACTGTTCACCTTACACATCCTTAACTTCTAACCTCCCTTCACATCTCTCGGTAAACATTCCTTAACTACCTTTAACCTTGTGAAACTACGCAGCTGTCGACTACGATTTGACTACATCGAAAAGCGTCACTTGTTTCCTGAAACCGCGATCCAAACGACACACTGGAGCTTCCAATGTCCACACCTTCCAGTGAATCGACCAAGCTTCACTAGCCAAAATCCTAGCATCTCACAACATGGATGTACTGTGTTCCTGAGAATCGCATACAGGACTCTAGTAAGGTTTTTCCCTTAACCTCACCCGGTCAATATGGTGAATCTGCAAAACTCAACCTTCGAGTATCTGGAAATTCAATGACTAGTTCCCGAGCTCTTGCAGGTGCAAGCATGGCAGAAAGTGATCTACTCGACTGGATCCCAGTTGACAGTCACCCACGAATTGTTCGACTAAATAGTATAGTGAGAACTAAAAAGAGTAGTGAAACTCGTTATTTCCTCCTTGCACCTACTGACTGTAGTTTAGAAGAAGTGTAGAATACGTTCTGATGAAAACCGTCTAGCGTTCTACAGGATGGCAAACATTCAAACGTGGTTTTTGTTGCAGGTGATTTGAATTCACAAGTGAGTAGGCTAGGTCGGGGAGCAAAGCACTATGGTTGCACTTTCGGAATCCAAGCCAGTCGAACAAAAATATAATAGCAATCACCTGTTACAGGTGCACTCCGATAATCATGTATTTTCGGCCAATACGAGCTTTAGACGTTCAGAGAAACACTGTCTGACGTGGCGTCCACCGACATCAACTCAGTGGTAGACACAGATAGACCACATTGTTATCAGTTGTCTCTGGAGTGTCAGGTGAAGGTTGTCCATCATTGTGTAGCACGTGTTTGGACAGCATGGATGCGTTGTTCCGAGAACATGTTTGTCTGCTAAAACAGCGGTAGACAGCGAAGTCTATAGAGAGATGGAAAAGGCAATGGCGACAGTGATGTCAGACAATTGTTTATACTTATCAGAGAAAGTGGGGTTGAAGGTGAATGACTGATTAGACTCTATTGGAAAAGGGTGCATCGGCTATTCACTGGCCAGAGATGACTGGAACGATGGAAGGAACACTTGGATGGACGGTTTGACTGGCCTGCAAGTGGCACGGCGTTGCCTTTTATTCAGGTGCTTCCTGAGCACGACATAGGCAGGACAGACGTTGAGAAAGCTGTAAGCAATCTGAAATGGGAAAGGGCAGGAGGGCCAGATGGACCAGTACCAAAGGCATTTAAGGATTGTGGTCGAGGATTATTGGCCAGACTAAATGAAGTGTTAACTATTGTGTGGGAGTCGAATATATATAATCCTCTCTAACCGCTCTCAATCACTGAGAGTACCAGTCTTCATCTTATGATAACCACAGAGGAACCTATCTGACTAACATCGTGACTAAGATTCTAGGTTCTATAATAATCGGACGGCTAAACCAGGCTCAGTAACGCCCATCTCAAGAAAACTAGGCAACTTTCAGACTTGTTCATGGGTGTATCAACCAGACATTTATTCTCACCACGTACCAGGTACCAGGACCAACGCCCAACACTGCCTGCATTTCACAACCTCAAAACGGCATTCAACTCCATCCATACAGAGGTCTTCCAAAACTCCCTCACTCCATTCAGCTCCTGAGTAAGTACATTTCAGAATGTTCGGGATGCCTTTCTCGCCACCTGAACACAAACTATTACTCCACAACTGGCCTTCATTGGTGTCTTGTCCAATGGTAGGAAGTAAAACAGTTCGACGGGTCGGCCACTTCACTTACATGGGAAGTCGTGTCAGTCTTCCAATATTGGGCAGTGCCCAACAAAATATACACAGAAACAAAACATCCGATTGACTTCAAAAATCTTACGCCACTCGCGGTGTCGATGTGGCATCCGACTACCTATTACGAGGCGAGTGTACTGCAATGCAGTCCTCTCTTTTTTACTACATGTTTATGAAACATGACAGCTAAAGGTAGGGATGAGAGAGAGAGAGAGAGAGAGCTACACGTAGACGATCACCGTTTTCTTCATAGCATTATGCATGGCGCATGGTGCCAGCAGGTCAATAATGCGCAATTTGGGTGTAGAGTTTTAGCGAAGAAAGGGAAGTAGGTTGATTAGGTTACCATCCTTCATCGACTCATAACTGAGACATATGTTACGCATGTCTAGTCACCGTTTGCCTCATCGCACAATGTTAGATGAAGCAGGTTTAGGTTGCAAAATGGTTAGGGGCGGCAAGACTAAAACATGCCATCAGTCATTCAAACCGATGATTTTATAGTACATTGGAAATGAAATAAGATAGGAATTGGTACCGTAATCTGGAAAACGCCTAACTAGATCTTACATAAATACTAGTTTGATGCTTATGTGTGGAAATCAGTAAATCAGCACCGGCGAATGAAATCAGACAACGCTTTTACTTTCATTTTAAGTGGGTGTTGGTTGTAGCAACTGGCGAACCATATTTATGGGAGATGAAAACCACTATCAGACTCTCAGCAAAGGATTTTGAAGATAGAACATCTGTCTGTGCTTTGAGACTAGCCAGCCCATAAACATCTTCACGTCGGTAATTGCTACATCTATAACGGCAGACACGGTGGCAACTCGGACCGTTACGCAGTAATGCCTGGTCTTATGTTGGTATTGATGATAATGATGAGACTCGGTTTTCTAAAAGTTTGGCAGAATTGATTACATTGTACTCCATTTGAACTGCAAAAGGGGAGAATAAGAATGAATGACTGTGTAATGGCTCCATCTTTCTGGGTAACCATTTAGGCGAAAGAGGCAATCACTGAGGTTCAGTTGACGAAAATTTTTTCTAAGGTTGTTGTTGTTAACACATAAACCTACTGGCAGTGACCATAAAGGATGCAGGCACCCATTCAAGATAAAAACCGAAGATACCAGGTAGATATTAATACCAATGACAAATATTACCACTGTTGTGGTTAGACAAGTAAGACGCATCTACTGGATTATCGTATGCAGTTAGTTTTTCAACCAAACCAACGTATGAAGGTAAAATTAGATTATTTTTAGTTCTTATTGGTACACTCCTGTTTACTGGGAGGTGGTAATAACCATCTGACACGTGAACCGACACAGCAAATCAACTAAGTAAAACTGCTTTCGAAGTCTTCCGAGTTGTAGATGTACTCTCAAAACATCATACAAAAGTCAGCTGCATCGATAATCCCTATGGTGGAGAATGCATATAGGTAACTATTACTCTTACTGAGATGCATTTGAAGAATATAGACTGCTGGAATAAACGTAATGCTTGAACGCATACTCAACAATCGCAAATTGAAATAATTGATTGGGACTAAGATTTAGACGTCTCAAACTAACTCGAAAGAATTGCAAAACTGAACAGTTGTAAAATATGCATGAAATGAAATATGGGTAAGCCAGAAACCAATACAATTTAGGGAAAACCTATATCTTAGTGGGCAATATAAAGGAAAAAGTGGATATACCTGTATCTTTGATTGTCAAAATAACAGACTGGCCATCGACAAAACGAGTAGCACTGTGTTCGACACGCAACCCAGCTAGGTCTCCAGGTTGGTATTTTTTGTTATTAATGGACAATTTTGACTCAACAAACTCGGAAACACCCAACTGGTCATCAATTTCGGAGAGAAGTTTCGCCTAAAAACATTGCTACTCGGCCACTGGAACACACTGCTTACCCTTTCTGAAGCCTGCTTTTGAATTCGCTCCTTCTCTCGCATTTTTTCTACCCATGACTGAACATCTGACTCATGCTCAATTGGTATGGAGAGTTTCTCCTGACCAAGTTTGTCATACAACGCCCTCTTCTCCCTCAAGACATTCAACTTTTCTTTGATGGCAACAGACTCTTTCAACTTTCTTAAATCCTTAGCTGGTGCATGAACATAATTATCCGCTTGGTTATCAGCCGTTCCCTCTGATCTGAGTGTGTCTTCAGTCTCCAAAGGACTCAGACCCAGTTTCGCTCGCAGAGCACTAAGGAGAAATGTATGTATGATTCCGACTTACTTTGTTTCAGTAACTGATAGCGATATATCTACTCCAGTGCGTCCGACTAAACGAAGGCTTAAGAACGGGATTGAGTAAACATACCATTATCAGGAGACTCCTTATCTCCCCTGCATAAATTCCGGTCAGAAATTTGGTTGAGGGGTGAACGAGACCTGTCACGATTTTTATGGTGACGGTGCTTTTTATGTGTTCGGTGGGGCGATACTCTTGTCATCGTGTTGCGCACACGCTAGATAAGGCCGCCTTCTGTATTCGGTCCAACATCAATAGTGCGAGTTCCAATCTTATAGTTTTTCAGCTCTCGCTTTTAAGTCTTGAGACTCAGTTGTTTTGTTCGGTTATACTTTTTCTGTGGCCATGGAAGTTTTTATGTGATACTGTTCAACATCTGACATACCTAATATCTGTTTTTGAGGGTGTGCGCAGACCAACTCACTTGCTCACTCATAGGTCTTGTGGAATTACTTCAGGTCTTTACAGGATTTCTGCTCAGTAGATATAACCTCTCTGTGGCTCAACGTCACATGTAGAACGTTGACATTGCAACGATCAACCATCAGGCCAACCCTGAAGTATGAATAATCAATCCTGCAAAGACCAGCTGTTGACATGTTTTCGACTAGCCTGTAAGTAGGCCGGCACACCGTTGTAGGGGGACATGTGGACCTAATGGTAATCACGAGAACCTGGAAGGAAAAAAGTAAGCAGAAAACATGAACCAATCACTCAGCATGCACATAAAGCATATTTAAACCCAGTAGTAAACGACAATTGACAAGAAGTGTAAAGCGAAGGGTGGATAAGTAAGGTTTCGAATGTGCTACAATCCTCACGCCTCAGTTTGTACTCCATTTCAGATTTGTTGTTTGAGGATAGGAGGCTGTGAGCCAACATTAATCCGTTTCCAGTAGATCTGCGTGCTTGTCTAATCCCTCTTTGAATGAGTCAATCGCCGATGCGATCATCACTTCTTCTGGGAATCGGTCCCAGGCGAGAACCAGTACTCTGCGGAGACCATGCTCGTTCTTTGCTTTTGCAGACTCTTACTATGTCTTCTGAGGTGTTCCGACCTAGTTGGAAGGAAAAGAGAAGATAGGCTAAGTTCGAAGTCACTTCTTAGAATCCTTTATAGCATGATTAGGTCTACTGTCTGTCTGCGATAGGATACAGTGAAGAGGTTCAACCCCTTAAACCGATCTTCATGAGGCTTCTTTCGATACATTTGCACCCATAAACAGTAGATTTGCTGGTAGGCTGCTTAATTGAGGAGAAAGCATTGTGTTGGCACCCTGCTAATCTTCTAGGCGCCACGTATGTAAAACATGCAGTTCGATGCCACACAGAATAGGTCGTAAACACGCTATTAGGCTTGTTTTGTACATGATTTTCGGAGCAACCTAGGAGGCTACTTTTGTGTGCAGAATGAAAAAGCAAAACGCATAGCGGTCTTCTTGATCTCAACAGTAGCATAAGGACAGGCTAAATAGCTCTAGGGTAGGTTACCTTGCCATAGGTTTTTCGGAATATCGTCCATTACGCGGTACTTCAATCCTAGAAATACGGATGTAAAGCAGATTCGAACCTAATGAGATGGGTTAAACTACTGTTTAAAGTCCCAAGCACTCCATATACACGAAACTCAATAGAACCGCATTAGTTACAACCAAGACTGCTCCAAAAGCTAGTGGACTGATTATCTGGTTGAGTAATGCTCGCTTCAGAACAATTTTCAAAACTTCTTCGCTTTCATACTACAGGGAAAATATCGTAGTCGGGAATGGGAACTAGTACTGATACTGGCTATCCTAGCAAAAGCAAACAAATAGCGAATACAGCTCACCTGTTAAGGCGGCTGTTCACAGTTTTGCGCATGATGTAGCCTTCACAACGGGGTCTCGCGAACAAACGACCTCGGTGATGGTAGAAATATGGGTAGGGTCCACATATGAAGGCTACACAGACTTTGTTTAGATAGATTTTGGTAAATTACCCAGCTGAAATCTCCATTCCGGGTTGCTAATTAAACGAGAAATTTTCGAAATTACAAATCCTCTCACCCATCGTGGTAGTGGCCTTTGGTGCGTACCGGGGAGTGAAGGTCAACCTTAAGCTAAGAGCTTGTACGCAATGGAGTCTCACGGGCACTGCACCAGTTTCATTACCACTTACTTTTTATCTAGATGAACCATAGCTTATTCAAGGTGGTTGGGTGTCCCAACGGTCTGAGAGTCTGGCTGGGACCAACCGACGGTACTGATGCACTCTTCAACTTACTGTCAACACACCTAATATGGTGGGAGAAATGAGTTATTTCTACAGCCCAGTTAGTTTTGCAGTTACGTGCGAAAGTTACACGAGTGATAGTACACGTGACAGTGAGGTAACCCCCGGGACTTCGGTTCTCATGAACAATGGACTAAGTCACCACAGTACCCGATAGCTTCATAACTACGGAGCACTGTCTTCTGGCCTTGACTAGATGCCTTGGAATGCTGCTACTTTCGCTAGTGCCACTGATCGCAAACAAGCCCAACAGGGAAACTGTATACAGATACCAACTAGGAGCATGAAAAATTATTGTGGTTCGCTACTAGTAATTCGGCAGACAGCTATAACTGTAGTCTCTTGGAGGCAGGTCCACCTAGTGAATGAAGCCAACAAGCTTGAACATCACCTCTCCGTCTTGTAATAGAAGTGAAAGGGCCCGGCTCTCGTCTCAGCGGTTTTTATCTGTCTCCAGAAATGACATGTTTCCCATCATTTTAGTCACAAGGTTGGGAAATGCCAAATGACATAACAAGTGTTAAATACGTTGTACCTGACTACTCCGCTCGCACCAATCCCTGGCCGCATTAACTTGTGGGATAATAGAACCCCGTTTCCTGCTAACTCATATTTAACATACCTACATCGCTATACCAGTTTTCTAATCATCTTTACTTTCACCTTCGTGCACCGCCGCATACGTGGAATGTTTCGTGATTAGGCAATGGTATGTTCTGGTTATGCATACGCACATATATATTTGCTGATTCACCCTTGAACGGTGACCATATGCTTCACTGGTTGTGCAAACCTCCAGGAAATTTCAGGCTTCTTTAAGGAATTTAGGAGAAATTGGCTCTTTTACGGGAAAAAATTCACAGCTACGAGGGTTAGTTCAGATTCAACGGGATCTATTGACGAGTTTCTTAAACCAGATCGTTTGGACGGTCGTTTAACAGGCCTGCAGAATTCTAGTGATTATTCATACTGCTTAGAAGTTATAACTTGATCTTTGACTGTTGTGAATCGTCCAGCAACAGATCTAGTGACATGCTGGGAGAAATATCAGTTCTTCTGTGGCTCGGGTGGTGGGTCTCATATGATTTACTTGTTTTCCCCAAATTTCCAAACCAATTTGTCGTTCATGAAGCCACATCTCAACTTTATGTCTGACTACTCCCATCTGCAGGGATTGTTACCCTGGTCCATTCTGACAATAACTTTATCACCAAGAAGAAATTCCGCGCTTTTTGCAGTCGCTCACTGTGCTTTGACTTAGCTTTCAGTGTGGCAGAGTCAAGCGTCTTATCCAGTGAACAAAAATGCAAACTGCAGGGGATTTTCTGTTTGGTACGTCGAGATTCCACATGCTTTTTCAATTTGCAAGAAAGATCCCGATGATTGTGTTGACCATTTCATCTTCTTCCAGTGAAGGCCGTCTGAGTGTGTTCACCTATCTCTCTGCCTGGTCACTAAACTTTGGGTGTTACGGAGGATAAAGTGACTGCTGAATAGTATTTTTTCTCAAAAAGCTGAAGCTGCAGCGGAGCTGAACTTCTTGCTGTCATCTGATACTATGATTTCGGAGGCGACTAAGCGTCCGAGCAAACTAGTGAGTTTGCTGATTGTAGTATATATCATACACTTTGCCACGTGACAAACTTCAGACCACCTTCTGTGTGTATCATTAGGTTGAAACCCAACGGCCTGGCAGCCCACCGTCAAAGGAGATTCACAGAGTAAAGTGAAATCCCGCTTCCCACGCAAATGCTGTCAGTAAGGGTCTAGGATCCGCCGACGGGGCGAACTGTCGTCCGTTAATAATTTGCCAAACTTTTAGACGGAGAAGATAACAGATGAGGTTCTTTCAACTTGACTAGGATTGTGTTCTGTTGACGTCAGTGGCTAGAATTGAAGAACTATAGTTTTCTCGGAAACATTTGGGGAAATGTGTGACGTTACCGTACCAATACCACAATTTGAAGAGCCAAATGCAGCCATGCCGTGCAGTGGTAGGTTGTAGTGAGTAAGCTGTGACCCTGAGATAGGCATCTTCTTAATTTTACCGAATGCCTGCTGTCAGTTAGATGAACAATACCATTTTGCATTCTTCGTCAAAGGACTTCAAAGGAAATGACGATCAACGAAAGCTGTACCGTGGTGGCTTATCAGACGCAGAAATTAACGTAGTGTTGTGACGCATGCTGAATATGGTGTAGATTTTATCGCATTGTCCCTAGTTGAACTCTGGTGCCTTTTGTTACTGTCTACGACAAGTTCAATACAAATAGCTTTTCCCGCACAAAGTTGACATCTGTCTACCAGAAGCCAAAACCCATATTCTTTAAAGCTCTCCAGAACTAGGTCAAGTTTGCGCACTAAGCCCCCTTTTCCTGCCTTCATTATGACTCTATGCTCTGAGTACGCTGCGGAGCTAGGGATACTGTACCACATAAGATCCATTAGCCTGTGAAATATAGCCGGTGATGTGCCTAAAGGGAAACTACTATGTCTGACCAGCCTCCTATGAGTGTTGATGGTCATGAGTCCCTCGTATTTCTGTGCTACCGAAATCGGTTGGTCTGCTGCAAATGAGTTCAACTTTGCAAAGCACTTACAAACATTCATAATTTTAAATAGGTATTCAGATGGTGGCAATGGATATTGATTTTCAACAACCACGCTCAGTCATGCGGGGCGTCCCGCGCGCCGACGTATACTGCCATTCGCCATCCATACAACAACTGTTGGGGCTACCCGTGATGAAAAACTCACTGGCCGTCACATCTATCGAGGCCATTCGAGCCCTCGCTCCACGACAGGCGGGGCTGTGTATGGTACTGGCCTATTCGGGCGAAACACAGACCCGGCTTTGGAGTGAAGCAAGAGGGCAGCTTCAAGTTGTCTGCATACCGCAAGGTCAACAGAGGATAATGTGACACGTTTCAGTTTCAACTCGTCTGTTAGACCGGGATTAAACATC